ATAGAGGAGGGTTTAGGGCTGTTGTACATAGGGTCACTATGAGTTGCAAGCGACTTGACGGCACATAACAACAGCCATCAGGTTGGTTATGACTCAAATGGACCCTCCTCATAGCATTCTGTGGCTGCAAATCATAATAGGAGAACTGTTCATCTTTCTCCTGCAGAACAACTGATGGATTTGTACCACTGGATATGCATAGCCTTTGGGTGAGAAGTGGGATTCACTAGCCTATTCCACAAGGCTTCCCTTACAGCCTTGGAAATCCCATGAGGCTGTTCTACTCCATTCTATAGGGCTATCATAAGTCAGAATAGACTCAATGGCATGAATTTGGTGTACAGTAGTTTGCCTATATGTTTTCTTAAGTTTGACTATTTGATTAAAACTTCATTTAGAGATGTCAGTGGGAAGACCCTGAATGAAATGTATTGATACACTAACAATGGGCTCAAGTATACCAGAAATTATGAGGATGGTATGGGATAGTGCAACCTTCAGACCCATTATTGATAGCGTCACTATGAGGCATAGTCAACTCGATGGCACCTAACAGCAGTTGGGGTTGCTAATGGGTAACAGAGACACCATTACTCTTATTGCTAATTCACATAATTGAAGGTCTTCTGTTTGAAGAAGGGAAGACTTATTTAATCTTTTTAGGAGATTCACCCAGACTTGAGCTCCAAAGAGAGTTTCCTGATGGGGCTGTTGAGGGGCTTAGCTGAGCAAGGTCTCCTGTGACACACCTCTGGGAAAACGGAACTGCCTACTCTCTCCTACTCTCTTTCAAATCTCTCTGCCTTGACCCAGAGGATCAGCAGCACTGAGGAAGGACTCAGAAGACTGGGGACCAGGAGTGCTTTTTTATGGGCTGAGGGGAGGACGAGCACTTGATGGGTCTGGAGGCTGTATATAAGAACCTTTGTTTATTTTGCAAGCATTGAAGTTTCCACATGTGTGAGCTAGAACTTTACCTCTATGGTCAGTTATATCTTCTGAACTGGAAATGGAGGAGGAGGCATGGACAGTAAAGTCCGGGGCCTTCTTGCTCTTAGAGTGAAGGCATCAGAGGACAGAGATCAGGAGCCTTTTCTAGTGTAGTCTCCAAGGCTCATGGACTGTTTTTGGTGGAGTCAAGCATGGTAGGGGCAGAGTGCCCATGCAGAGCCCTCACAGGCCCATGTTATATTCAGAAGCTACGTTCATTCAACTCCTCTCAGACTTGGTGTCATGTGAGAATCTAGGGATGAAGAAAATCCTTTCCAGGCAGAGAAGAAATTTGTTCTCTCTCTGCTCCCCCGATACAGACTATGTTCTGACACCATACTACTCACCCTGAAGGTCAGACAGAACTGTAAGTCAGACATCTCAATCCAATTTCCACATGCCTTGAGAACAGAAAATGGGACATAGGGCACAGGTCATGAGCATCTCTTTGAAATGGCTAGGGCACCCCAGGGCAGAAAGCAGATAAAGAGCCCGTACCCCAGCCCCATGATACCTCTAGAGCCACACCAGCAGCAAGAGGTCCATTTATTCATTGTTGACTCACAGACTTTACTCACAGTTATGGTACCAAGAGTGGGGCTTATTAGGGAAATAAGTTTGGGAGTGGGAGAAGCAAAGGATATCTCATAATACAAGTCGAGGGTTAGCCCAGCAGTTGCAAGTCAGATTAACAGCAAAACATAATTTTTTAATTAGTAAAAGTTTTAGTTCAGCAACAAAAATTCAAGAAGCCTCTGGTTTCCTCAATCATCCAGCAAGGTTTGCCTCAGAACAGTTATAAGTCAACTTCTCCTTCAAAGATCCAGAAAGCACAGCAAAACTTTTAACTATGGCCTTTATCTCAGGGCTCCTCCAGTTATACCTTGCCACAGTTTCTCCACAGCAATGCCACAGTCTCTCCACCACCATCATTAGGGTATCGCCACTAGGGTCTCACTCTTAACAGAGTCTTGCTCTAGTCTCCCTCAAGTCTTGCTGCCCAGTGTGGGAAGCATTCTCTCTCTTGTTCTAGTCCCACAGCCTTTGATAGTTTTCAAGACCATGTGTCTATAGCTAAGGTAGCTGGAAAGCAGAGGGGGCTAGATAATGATTTAGAAAAGCTAACTGTTTTTAATTAATTTTTTTTATTAATTTTAATGAACTTACACAGAGATTTTGGATTTCCACTCATTCATTGCTGCATTTTTCTCCCTGCCGCACCCCTCTGCCCTAGTTCGCTCTTCTCTTTGAAAAGTAAAAGAAAAAGTCCTTCATTAATATAGAATGCCTGCCCCCCAACCCACCCTGAGTACGCTCCACTATAACC